ACGTGGCCTGTTCAGAATAGGTTGCTTTGGGAAGATAGAGGTCAAAGTTGAAGAATTCTTATTCAAGATTTGTTCTATAGATGGCATATTAGACTTGGCCTGTTCAGAATAGGTTGGTTTGGGAGGATAGAGGTCGAAGTTGAAGAATTCTTGAAAAGACTTCTCTTCACTAAGATTCTCCCCCTAGAGAGAAGGTTTTTTGAAGTAGGGGGTTTTTTCAAAGAAGGTGACATCTCGGCTCATAAAGACCCTTTTTATTAATGGATCATAGCATTTATATCCCTTCTGAGTAGGTGAGTATCCAGTGAACACACATTTAAGTGCACGAGGGTCTAGTTTGTTTTGATTAGAATGAATATGGGTAAATGTCATACATCCAAACACTTTCAGAGATAGGTTCGAGTCAAGACGAGAGATAGGGAAGTAAATCTGGAATTTTTGAAGAGGTGAGTAGAAGGATAGGGTACGACTGAGCATTATATTGATTAGATACGTGGCTGTTAAAATGGTGTCGCCCCAGAATAGTTTTGGCATGTTTGTGGTGAACATTAATGCATGTGCAATTTCAAGAAGGTGTCTATTTTTCCACTCAATGACCCCATTTTGTTGAGGAATATTGACACAAGAAGTTTGGTGGACTATTTGGATCTGTGTTTGAAATTGTGTATGAATCATTGAGTGAAAGTTGATAAATACAGAGCAAACGTCAGATTTTTCTTCTAGTAGATAGACCCAACAGACTCTGGTATGGTCATCTATGAACGTGATAAACCATCTAGTGTTTGTTCAATTCAGGGTTCGAGAAAGTCCCCATAAGTCACCGTGGATCATATAATAGTGTAAAATACCATATTTTTCCCTCTTAATTATTGCATTCATGTGATTATATGATACCAAAATGCACTCATTACTCTTATATTTTGGTTTATGTTGCATTTTGGTGAAAGTGGTGAAATTTGGAAGAAACAAATGAAAAAGGACCAAAGTGAGAAGAAGTGAAAGTTCAGAGACCAAATTGCAAATATTTCATAGATGAGACGGGTGATGGAATGATGATTCAAGAATGATAAGAGTCAATTGAGTGCAATTAGAAGTCAAAGGAAGTGAAATATGATCATAACATCTTCACAAATCAATTCTCAATCGAAAAAAGTTATGCACCGATTTTCAGCCTAATATTGGGACCCATTTTTTACATGGTGATCGAATTTGAAGATGGTTTTTGAAGCAAAGTTGTATATCTTTAAGTTATCTTTCCAACACATCTTGAATCACCTCAATCGGACATCGAGAGAGAAAATTATGATCAAAATATCGAATGCTGTTCGGGCAAGAAAACTGTAATAACCATGCGGCTGCAAGGAAGAAAATCATCCGGCCGCCCACACTGTTACCGAAACTTGAGGGCTGAAAACTTCATAACCATACGACCGCAAGAGTTATAACCATGCGTCCGCATGGGCTTTTTTCTAGGACGAAAATTTTGCTTTCCTTAATCGACTCAAACACTTATGGTAACAAGTTTTCACATGACTTTTAAGCCCTAATCTCGACAAAAAAACGCCACCATTCACCTCCTATCACTTTTCTTTGATTTTTGGTTCAAGAAATCTATGGAAAACTAAATTCTTTGATGAAGCCACGAAGGATCTCGATCGGACTTGGTGATTTCAACATCTTTTCTTTCATGTAATGTGATTTTTATTGTCGAATAATTATGGGATTTAGATTTCTTCATTTTTATTATACTTTTGATGTTTGTTTAACTTTTATTAAATTGTTCATGGATTCATTTATGTTTTTTCCATTGAATGAGTAAAATATTGGTTGAATTTAAATTTCAATTAAATTATTGACATGATTTGATTACTGCTATATGCTTAAGGTATATTGTCGCTTCTTAAATCGTGTTTCAATAACTAAATGTGGAATATGTAAAGGAATTCTAAATTCCAGGATTGCAAGTGAAATTACATAAATCTAGGTTTCCCTTTATGAATTGGTAATTGAAATTGGTTCAATTCTTATTAGATTTTTCGTAGAATTAGTCACGCTCTTTCTATAGTTTGATCGAAAAATTTATTGAGTTTCAATTTCATTTATGTCATTGGTGAGTTATTTACTTTCGCATGCTTGATGTATATGAACGCTTCTTAATCTCATTTCAATGAACAAATGTGAGAATGTGTTATCGAAAGTCTAGATTTTTGAGCAGAATGCATGAATAATTTATGTTGATTGACCCAATTCGAAAGAGTAAATTCCAGTGCTTCACTAATTGCATACATTTTGATATTCAAACCACAATTCAAATTGATACATTTCTTTTATACAACTCACAACGAAAACCCTAATTGTTAGACCCTTTAAGTAACTTCCCATCTCCCTGTGGATACGACACCCCAAGGCTGTACTACAATCACTGCGTTATACTTTGAGCGTAATCATGTTTGTATCTAGAGTTTGGGTAAGAAGTACGCTGATGTTTTGCAAGTTCGCAATTTTCACACTGAAAATCAGCTAAAATTTTATTTGAAAATATTGAAGGGATTACACGTTTCAAGTATTGAAAATTCGGGTGGCCTAGTCTATAATGCCATAACAGAATTTTACTATCCCTAGAAATAGATGCAGACTCACAAATAGCAATTTTGTGTCGTCTACTCACATCAGCTTCCTCAAAGTAGTATAGCACCTCACGCTCTTTAGCACTGCCAATCGTCTTCTCTGATAAAAGGTCTGAAAAATAGAATGAGAGGGAAGAAATTTAGCAGAGCACTTAGAGTCTCTAGTTAATTTGCTAATTGGCAACGGATTACAAGATAATTTTGGGACATGCAAGACAGATTCAAGTGTTATAGAGTTAAAGATCCTAACAGTCCCTTTTCCTGCAACAGATGAGAGGGAGTCATCTGCAATTTTGACTTTAACTTGCCAGCACAAGTTGAATATGAAGAGAAAAGATGATAAGCATCCGTCATATGATCAGATGCTCCGAAGTCTATTATCCAGGGAGTTTTTTGATTTTGAAGTGGTACACAAGGCTTTAAAAAAATTACCTTTATAGGCTAGGGAGCTTGAATGATCATTAGGAGTGGACTGACCGGAAGTTTGAAGACTGGAAAAAATCTGGTAGAGTTGTTCCAATTGTTTGGGGTTGAATGTACCATTTTGAGTAGGATTGGTCTTTGTCTTGGTTTGATATCCCCGACTCCTAGTACCTTGCCTTGGCTTCCAATTCGAGGGTTTTCCACGTAGGTCCCAACATGTATTTTCTTTCTGTCCAGGCTTACGGCAATGTTCACACCAGAGGCGATTACGTTGTTTCTATCCTAACCCATTTATCGCTGACTTTGACGACATACCCATCACTTCAAACCCATTATCTTCGAGCCCGATATCTTACCCAATGGTCCATCCAGTAATCCGATTTTTTCCAACAACTGGGCTTTTAAATGTTGGCCCATATGCTCCACTAATATCTGGGCCTTTTCCAGTAACTGGGCTTTTAAATGTTGGCCCATATGCTCCACTAATATCCAGCCCTTTTCCTTTCGTCACAAGGGCCGACACTTTACTGGGTCCATGAGATTCTTCCACCAACATCACCAGAAGATGTGCCTCTTCTCGTCAAACCTCAGAGAAGACCTCGTGAAGGGATGACAGTGGTCTTCGGCCAAGAATTCGGCCTCTATCGTCGTCGAGATCCCGATTTAATCTAGCCAAGAATTCATACACCCTTTCATTTTCAATCTTCTTCCTATACCGCACACTGTCACCTCCATGGCTCTATTCTTTGTCACTGCTGAGGTCAAGTTCCTGCCAAAGTGAGGTCATCTCCATGAAATAATCTGTAACATCTCTATTTCTCTGCTTCGTTTGCCACAGTCGGGTCTTGATTTCAAAGATGTGTGATGGATTTTCTAAGTTCGAGTGTGTTTCTCTCACCGCGTCCCATACCTCTTTTGTAGTAGGAAGGAAAAGATAAGTTTTTCCTATTGCTGGTTTCATAGAATTTACTAACCAAGCAGTGACATTGGTTTCTTCATCTCACCAGTAAGGTACCCTACTTTCCCCTTACCATCAATCACCAACTTAATTAATTGGGCCCATTCGCGAAAAATTTTTCCATTCAATTTTTCGACTGTGAGCTGAAAAGATACTCTCAAAGCCATGAGAACCAATTGTGGAGTTAATCTCTGTCTCGATTTGTGGGGGTGTTGGACATGACTGACCCCGAACTGTCGACGGGAAATTCTGCCATAGGTTCCTAAGTTTAGACGATCCTAGGCTTTAATACCATGAACAAAACAGGAACAAGAAATTGTTTATTTATTTCTTGATAATTAATCTTCACAAATTACATCTATTTATAATACAATAATGGAGCCAAGAAAGGAAAAAACTATCTCCTAATATTAGTATTTACAGCCCTAAAATTATCAATCAACACCATCAAAGGAAAGATATCAAAATCTTTCCTTTATACACGATTTTCTACATCTTGATTCCATCTTATTCGTCTTTCCCTTTAGCACATGCTGGACATCCCCACATTTGAATGTGGTGTAAATTGGGCTTGCACCCATTCCACAATTCAAGAGGTATCTTGGGAACTGACTTAAATGGTACCAAATTCAAGATATAAATGGCTGTTTGTAGTGTATGTCCCCAAAAGAATATATATAGGCAATGAGGAATAACTCATCATTGATCTTAACATTTCTAAAAGAGTTTGATTTCTTCTTTTCGAGACACCATTCTGTTGGGGAGTTCTTGGTGCACTCAATTGGGATAATATTCCATTATCCGATAAATAGACCTTAAACTCTTGGGATAGATACTCGCCACCTTGATTGGATCAAAGAGCCTTGATACTCTTATTTTGTTCCTCAACTTCCGTCCAAAACTCCTTGAATTTCTCTAAAGCTTCGAATTTGTGAGACATAAGGTACATATCTAAATCTAGAGTAATCATCTGTGAAAGTGATGAAGTACTCCTATCCTCCTCTAGCCCGAGTACTAATAGGTCCACAAACATCGGAATGTACTAATTCCAAAACCTCGTTAGCTCTTAGTCCCTTAGCCTTAAAGGGCCTCTTAGTCATCTTTACTTCTATACATGATTCACAAGTTGGTATAGATTCCACCTCTAACTCATTTAAAGGATCATCCTTTACCAATCTTTGAATCCTATTTAGATTGATATGACCCAATCTAAGATGTCATAAAAGAGTTTCATTAGTACTAGACGACCTCTTTCTTTTCTTAGCAATAACCAACAAAGGACTTAAGATTTAAAGTCTATTATTAACCATATGACTCGAACATATAACAGAATTATTCAACTTAATAACCATCGTAGAACGGGTAAAAAGTACCGAATAACCAACATAATATAAAAGTGCAACGAAAACCAAGTTTCGTGTAAGTTCGGGAACATAATAACAGTCATCTAATATTGGATTCTCAAAACATAAAGTAAAAGTGCCAACAGCTTTGGCAGATACCACTGCTCCTGTGCAAACCCTAAGAGTGTAATCATCTTCACTGAGATGCTTGGTTTCCTGAACAAAGAATTGCAAACATAATTAGTGGCTCCAAAATCTACAATCCAGGTATTAGTAGAATCAATCACTAAGCATGACTCAATGAATAGGGCATTATTGCATTTACCTTGCTTCCCCTTAGCTAGGTAATCCAGGCAATTCCTCTTCGAGTGACCCTTTTGTCCACAAATAAAACACTTTCCCTTTGGTTTCCCGTCGGCAGTAGTTTTCTTCCCCTTTGCCAGAAAGCTTAGGATGAGAGGGTCCGGTTGTAACAGTGAAAGTATTTCCACTTCTAGCCTTTAGAATAGATTCAGCATTTTGGAGCTCTTTCATTAATTCCGTCAGGGACATGTCCATCTTGTGTAGATTATAATCAACTATAAATTGTGAAAACATCTCAGGAAGAGTCTCAAGGACCATGTCAATCTACGTCTCGGAATCAATGTCAGCTCCTAAAACCTCCGCAGCATTGAAGTGACCAATCATGGTTAACATATGGTCCCTTATAGATGGCCCGATTTCATGCATGTGTTCATGATTGCCCTAATGGAGGCTTGCCTAGCTTGTCGGCTTTGATGTCCAAACATCTCTTGAAGACTTTCCATTATGTCTAAAGTAGTTCTCATATTCTGATGTTTCTATTGTAATACATTTGATATGGATATCAAAATGTAACAACGGGTCATCTCTCATCAGAATGATGCCACTTTTCATATGCAACCTTTTGAGATTCTGTGGAGTCATCTTTGAGGGTTTCGGGACAAACTTCATTCAACACAAATTTGTGTTTTTCAGTGGTATTAATATTAAGATTCACTTTCTAGTCAACGTAAATTTCTGGGAACAAGTTGATTTTTGTTAAGTATTACTGATAATGGATTAAGCGACATTTTTCTGTAAAATTAACAATTTGCGTATTAATAAAATGGGCAATAATCTTTGTATGATGCATGCATATGAATATGCAAATATAGACCCAAAAGTAATCAAAAACCTTAAACCCTTACAATCTTTAACACTTCTTCTATATGAGGTCAATGTAGTTGTTGACAAGGTTGGGACCCTCCCACTCATTTTATTGAGTTAGGCATCTCATGCTACAAAAAAATGAGAATTGATTATTATTTGGCCTATGAATAATTTTGTTGAAATCTTCTATAGGAAGTCCCCAAAAATATTTATATATAAGTGTAATAACCTCCGTCAATAATTTTAAAATATCTGAAATATATAAGATGTCGTCTATAGAATGATCATCCCATTATTTCATTTTTAAAGAAATTCTATTACTAGATCCAATTTCAGTTAATAATAACGTAGTTTTCCTATAGGGAGACCGATATAATTCGATACTAAACATACGTATTTTAATAACAAATTGGATGACGGAGGAGGCCGTTGGTTTATATGTCCTATAAACCCTCTCCCACTTATTATTTTGCACCGTTGTATTTTCACTTAATTAGTCCGTAATTATAATGGCAATAATTATATAAAATATTTTTCGACCACCTCTAATTAATTTCGAGTGATAAAAAATTTTTTTAATGTAAATGCATATGATTTTAGTGTACCAGGTGGTGTTTCATTTAATCTACATGAATGCGATAATAATTAAACATTCATCCATCCTTACAATTTAAATTACAATATGGATAAAAAGAATTACATTGGGCCACATCCCGGCCCAATTCTTAAATCTTCTTTCTAGTCCACCTTATGTCACATGAAAATAGGGTTAATTTAATTTTTAAGCTCAAATCTTAAAACCAACAAAGTCATTATCCAACAACATTGGCCCAAATATTTTGAGAGGCCCAAAAAATCAGTAGCCTAGTGCCTTATGGCTTACAACATTTCTAGAGAAAAACAACAACAATCAATTAATTACAATAGGAAGAAAAAAAATTCTAGGACAAAAAATGATTACAAATATATCAACAATAACTTTAAACATATTTAAAGCATAAACATGTCAAAATCATATATCCTAACACCACCCAACTAAAATGCATAAGGATTTTAGTAACCTTGAGATCATTGGATTATAAAAATCATCACATATAGAAATGGGAGATGATAACCTTTTGAAGGAGCTTTTGGCCGAGCCAATTGCTTCCTCCCTTAGATTTTCTCCCTTGTTCTCCACTAGATGTATTTTTCATTATCAAGAAAGTGACACAAATTTCCTTGGACTTGATTGTAATAGATAAATTAAGTCACACACCTTTTATTGGAGTCAAGAGAGGAACCTAACCGAACTCACATGACCCAAGCTCCAATAGATGGATGTTTTCAATTAGGTCAACTCAAGACCAATTGAAATCCCTTAAATTGAGGGATTTAGTTAGGTAACTTTCCTGATTTAGATTCTTGATTTTTTCCTTGATTTAGTTTCCGTTCTTTTCTCTTGTAATCTCCTATATATTACCATTATTATCAAAGGTTTATAAGAAGATAACCATCAATTATTCACGTCATGGTATCAAAGCCCTAGGGCTTTTTCTGGGATTTATTTCTTGACTTCGTGCAGCCTTCATTGCTGACTCCCAGTTTTTTTTTCTCTGGAATTTTTCTTTCTTTCTCTCTGTGCAGCCTTTATCACTGCCATTCCCTTCTCTCCGTTCTCTAATTCCTGATAGGGCAGCCTTAATTGCTGCAAATCTCCTTCCTTCACTATGTCAGCCTCCTAAAACACCGAAACCACTAAAGCCACCATCTCTAGTGGTCTCAATTTGTCCGAACATACCTCAAGGGCAAAGGGAGACTCAGCCATCTTCTTGGAACAGGACCGACAATAGATGATCCGGCGTTTGGAACATGGGATGAGGAGGATTCCATGATAATGTCTTGGCTATGGGAATCTATGGACCCCATGATCAGGGACACATGCATGTTTCTCTCTACTGCAAAGGAGATT